AATTTTTAACATAATATATAGCCTAAATAGGCGAACTGAGGCCTTTAAACATTAACTTATATACATCTAGAGATGTATCTATATCTTGTCTTTAAACGAGCAATTCTTGTATATATATATGAATCTCGGAAACGGCTCCAACGATTTTAATGAAATTTAGTATACAGCGGATTTAGGGGGCGATAAATCGATCTAGATTAGTTTTATGTCTGGGAAAACGCGTGTTTTCGAGTTTTCATGCGGTTTTGCTTCGCATTATTCCACGCAAAATATGGTCTCTAATTCGCACGCTAGGACAAAAGCATCGTGGTTAAGCGGCCAAGGCGCAAGTTTCACAACCACAGGTGTCAGGGTTCGTATCCCGGTCGGATATAAGGTTTTTAATTTTGTTTTTTTTTTGTATTTATTCAAATTTTTAGTTTCTTTTTTAATATTTTTTTGGTTTAAATTTAGTAAGAAGATAGTTTGAAACCCTGGAAAGGACATAGGATTGTTTTTATCCCGGAAATCATCCCTTAAGGGAGTGAAAATGGGGATTCATTTTTTTATGGGGAATCAACCTAGGGATGAACCCGAGCAAAGCGAGAGTGAGTCGCTAATCTTTACATATAATAAAATTGTAACCAAGCCGAATCTGTACATAAAATATTTTTTGGAAAATCTTATTGAAATAGACATTATTATCGATATAGAGGTCGAATCTATAGTTTTTAGATTTAATCCACTGGAGCGATTTTCATAAAATTTGGTATGATGATAGCTGGTTATCCGGGTCAACATATAATACAAAAACTGTATTTTAAGAGTATACCTAAGAATTTGATTTTTGATAATCTGAACGCGGGCGAAGCCGCGGCCCATGCTAGTTTCTTACGTATAATGGTGGAAAAAAGGCTGTATTTGAAAATTTAACGCTCAAAGAGGTTAATTTTCGCCATGTCAACTTTACGTAAGGGTAAGTAATTATTAAATTATGGATTCCTAAGTAATTTACTATTGTTTATAAAGGTTAAGCTCTCTTCTTTGGATTTTCCGTAAGTACTTAACGTAAAATTTTATTTTAACGTGAATATCATACGATAAATTGAGCATATTAAATGTGATACTTTGGGCACTATTGGAAATAATATTAACCATTTACAATGATTTCCGGTATATCTGACGAAACAATTCCCCATGAATTATTGGACTCCAACGTCTCCGATGACGAAAAGAAGGACTCTGACGTGGACGAGGATGGCATACAAGACCAGGATATAGATAAGATTGAGGAACAGCCAAGTTTGCAGGAACCAAATAGTGATTGCGATTCCTCTGATGATGAGCCGCTTCAACTACTGCCCCGTTCAACGAGGCATGTTTCTACAGGTAGGCCAGTAATTTGGAAGCATACAACTGATTTTAAAGCCATTTTTAACGCATTCACATCAGGTGCAGTGAAAATCTCTCAGAGAACAACCTGAAGCCTGATATCTAAAAAGATATTGGAATATTTTGAGTGGTACTTGAATGCTGAATTCTTTACAAACATGGATTTTTGTCCCAATGTCATGTCCTTTGTGCGCACAGAAAAATCAGTGAACTCTGCTGCTGCAGAAATTTAACGTTTTTTGGGAGTAGCATGGTTACTGGACTGTTAGGTATGCCAAGGATAAAACAATTCTGGCTTTTAGAAACTAGTGCGACTTAATGGCACCTGCAATGACTAAAAGACGTTATACTGAGATTCGTTCGTCCTTAAAAGTCGTAAATGAAGCTGATGTTTTAGAATCTACGCAATCTAACGACTGCTTCTGGAAAATACGATCAATAGTTTTAGAGATTGAGAGAGCGTGCCGTAAAAATGTTCGCGACAAAAATGTCTCCATCGATAAGCAGATCTTACCTTACACAAAAAGATGGGTCAAAAAACAACTGGTGAAAGGTAAACCAAACCCAGAAGGAATAAAACTTTATATCGCAGTGAATTCTGACGATGTACCTTTGGATTTATACCTAAAGGTCTAGTAATATCTAAAGTAAAGGTAAAGTGGAATAGGCTTTGTACCCAACACCTGAACAATTAGCAAGACAGTAGGATAGCATTTGCAGGATACCATACCAGTAGGCACTTCAATTTACATGGATTTTACCTCTTCACCACTTTTGGATATCGTAAGAGAAAGAGTATGTAACGGAACGGCTATTTTAATGAAAAATGAGGTACCGAAAGTTGTATAGCTTTGACTTTTATATGTTAGGAGTGTGATGTATATTTATTATTTATGTTTTAATTTCACTAGGAATTGTAATAAAACTTTTCATCAGCATTAAATGTGAAAATTATACTGATTTAAAAAAAACTAACATTGAAATAAAATAGTTTTTTTTCTTATGTGTCCCAAAGTATCATATTTGATACCACCTGAAAATCCTGAAATAGATATTTGTGTAACCTTTAATTGATAGTTTTGCATTAGTGTAACGTCAATTAGCCCAGTTAATAGAAAAACGCTGCTTAAATTCAATAATTTATAGTTCGGGTCCCAGGAGGATATGGCAAATTGTATTGCTAGTAATAAAAAACTAGAACAAAAATAGTAAACAAAGCTTAGTTCAAAGTTACCACAGTGCCCAGTTTACGTAACAGTTTCCAAAGCAATTGTTCGGTCTGACCGCGAGTCCGCAACGCAACGTGTTTCTGGTAGATCGTATTGTGAAATATAATATAACTGTATAGCTGTATTCTGAACGCTCTGAACATAGGACCGGTTTTATGGAACAAGTTAGATTTAACCGTTAGTTAAATAACTTAAATAGTATAGATACTTATATTAAATTAAAACTAATTCGATTTGAAAATTTTTTTCGTTCGACATGCTGTTTATTAAGGAAGGCTATAATAGACTATAATAAATAAGTATGTTGGGACATTAACACACAATATCACCATCAATTTCCATGGTAAACTACGAGGCTCGTGTTATGGATACCCGATAGTTGATATTAAATACATACATCTTTATATATATAATTCTTCTGTGAGTGTGTATGTCACTGAACTTCTCTCAAACGACTGGACCGATTTTGATGAAATTTTTTGTGTGTGTTCAAGGGGATCTGGGAATGGTTTACATTCACAATTTGAATAATAATTTTCATCAAAAAAATTATTAAAAAAAGTTTGAAATTTTCAAATTAAAGACGTGTAGACAGGACAACATCTGTCGGGTCCGCTAGTATATTATAAATATAAACACCGATGACTGGAATACAAACATTCGTCATCACACAAATGAATGCCCCCAGCGGGACTCGAACCCGCGACCGCTGGCACAGCAAGTAGGATCACTACAAACTGAGCCAAACGTGTTGTCGACTATATATGTATTATCTTTACATTATATAATAAAACTAGCATTGCCCGCGGCTCCGCTCGCGTTCGGATGAGCAAAAACCAAATTCTTAGGTTTTACATATTAGTATACGCAACGCTCACTATTAGTGTGAAAGCAGACATGTAAGTGATAGAGAAATAAAAAAATTTAACAAAAAAACGACTTGCAGGCACTTAAATGTAAGAAATAACTAATCTGGGGTTTTCATTTAGAATAGATACCTAATCAGATATTTTCGAAGTCGGTGCCAGCCGATGCAAAGCAAATCTATTTCGATACGTAAAAATAAAAATACATATTTACCTATTAGATATTCATATCTTAAAATATTGTAGGCTAGCACCGACTTCCTAAATATATGAACAGGTATCTCTTCTAAATGAAAATCCCCGTTTAGTTATTTTTTACATTTTAGTGCCTAGAAGTCGGTTTTTATTTTATTTTTAAGTTTTTATTTTTCCATTTTTAGTGTAGACGTAATAAGCAAGTAATTTGTAAGAAGACAGTTTTTTAATACCATCTTCGATTAAGCAATTTATTAAAAAAAAAAATTATTATTGATTTTTTTAAAAACCGCTCGACCGATTTCTATAAAATTTATATGGGACCACCTGGGAAGTATACCCTTTGAAACAAAAAAAATCCAAATCAGTCTGAACTGACGCCTGAGCGTCTTCGAGTAATCGGTTATAAAAGATACGAACATACATAAAAAAGATTCCAACGAATTGATAACCTCCTCCTTTTTGGAAGGCGGTTAATGAGAGATTAAATAAAGTATGGTGTACTTATACCATACATATTATGTATGTTTAGTATATTTTGTTTTTAAGTTATTTAAAGTAATTTGGCTAAAAGTTTTACTGTTCTAGTAGGTACATACATACGAGTATATTGGTGACGGAAACGTGCTACTTTCAATACAACTCAATAAAATACCGGTTACGTGCGTTATTACTTACGAAGGTCAACATAAATTCTTCCCGTTGTGATAATAAACAAATTAAGTATATTAAAATAAATAATTTAAAAATATGTAAATCTATAAAAACGTCTCCAAAATCCCTTAAGATTAAAATAATTATTTCACCATAAAGGGTAACTACCCTAAGACAGTTTTATCTTTTGAAATGGGACGGGATCGTCCTTTAAATATACCCTATTCAATTAAAAAGGTTTTTTTTTTTGTTGAGACATTGACACACAGCACCATCTAGTTCCACGGTAAGCTACGAGGCTTGTGTTATGGATACCAGATAGTTGATACAGTACACATATATAACTTTAAATACATACATATTATAATTATGAAAATCTATTTACAATCTACCTCCTTTTTATGTTATTTAAAACCTATTTAGGTATATTGTAAAAAAAACTTTTCTGCGACACAAATTAGGTAATCCATTTTATCCATATTACTTTTAATAAACGTGCACACAGACATACTTGGGTACCTACAATAGAGCATTTTAGTTCATGAATTTCTGTGCAGTCTTCTTCATTCTACGTGACATTGGCGAAGTAATCATTGTTCAACTGGCAAGCTTTATGGCCATTAGCAATACAATTTAATTGAATTGAATTAAAGTGTTGTATTGGATTACTATATTTATTTTTCAGATGGCCGAAATAATTCTACAGCGACGCAAGGCAGCGTCGGTGTTAAACGAACCAAATCCTCTTATAATACTTTTAATTTTGTCGTTATTACAATTATGCGGCGCTCAAGTTGTGAACAGGGTTCCACATTTTATTCCTCAAACAGGAGACATGTCACAATTTAGTATACCCGAAGACACTCCTGTGGGAACTCCGGTGTATCATTTAAAAGGTAACTAAAATTATATAAGAACTAGCATTACACGCGGCTCCGCCCGCGTTCACATGACCAAAAACCAAATCCTTAGGTGTTACAGATTAGTATACTTTTACATTGCAGTTTTTGCATTTTTTCTCAGAAATAAGACATTTTCCCGCGGTAAAAAGTACCCTATATGTTGACCCGGATAACCAGCTATCACTGTACCAAATTTCATCGAAATCCCTCCAGTGGTTTTTCCGTGATGCGGTAACAGACAGACAGACAAAAATTCTAAAAACTAGATAGATAGGCCTCTGTATCGATAATAATGTCTATTTCAATAAGATTTTCCAAAAAGTATTTAATGTACAGATTCGGCTTAGTTACAATTTTATTATATGTATAGATAAAAAAGGCAATTTAATCGTATCTTTTGAAGTAGAGAAAAAGTGTTTTAAATCATAATACGTATCATCTACTTATACGAAGAAGGTAGCTGCATCAAACTGGGACTAATATATGTATATGCTAAATTGTGAAGTAAATAGTATTTACTATTTACTCTTATTTCGTACATGTAATCCGTTGTCTCTGACGTAGTAAACAGTACCCTCCATATGTAACATATCCATCCATAGTATGTCTTAAAAATTTAATAACTTTTAAATACCTTTACAATATTTTTTGACCTATTGACTTGCAGTTCCATTTTGGTAAGATTTTGAATTTTGTGCAATAAATTATTTATAATAAGTAAAAATATTAAAAAAAAGTGTTCTTTTAACAGGATAATTGCAATATATAAAAGAAAAATTATATCATATTTATAAATGATTTTTTAGGTATCGATCCCGATGATGGCCCATTAAGATATTCAATATCAGGCCAGTACTTCAGTGTGGACTCTGCGACGGGCGTGGTGACTTTAGCCAAGACGTTGGATAGAGAGCAGCAGTCTTCATTGGAAGTTATTATTAGTATTACAGGTAAGACAAAATATGAGAGAGAGAGAAAACATTTTTAATCTGCTGTCTATTCCCTCCACGAACAATAGATTCCTTAGAATTTTAATTAATTTCTTAGAAATTTACCTGGAGGTCTTAATGCCCATCGAAAATCACTCAGGGCAATATAAACAGCCATAGCCATATATTATGGAATATCCCATAGGGATTTTCAATCACAATTCATCAATTCATTATCAAATCACACTTTGGAGCATCTTTTTACTTTATAAATATATTGGCATCTACACAATATCGCTTATAATTTAATATTGGGACTAAATTTTATATGAATAACATTATTCGAATCAAATTGCAACTTTAGCGTTAGATGGAAAAATCGCCTAACCTATAACATACAAATATCAATGTCTTATCATTTCTCTCTGAGATTTCCTTGATCTATGTCTCGATCAAGAAAAAAAAAATATATTAATAAAATTAAAATTTGTTTTAATTACAGATGAAGGTATATCGGACACGGAACCCAACACAGTGTCTCTAAGAAGAGTGATCCCGGTGCGAGATGTAAACGACAACCCACCGGTGTTTCATAATAGGCCATATATAGTTAACATTAGCGAAGCTTTGCCTGTGGGAAGTGAAATTGAGGTAGAAATATTATGGTCTTGATTTTTTTTTAATTTTTTGAATACGTTCTCTCCTTGTTTAATACGTTTTTATTAATACTTTCTTAGATTTACGCGTATATTTGACTTTTTAGATAAAACTATCTTTTCGGATTTTTCGACGGATTCATTTTGATTTTTCGTTAAACTTTTGTGGGTGGGCACTGTCTGTAACAACTATATAATGACCTTTAAGACGTCTAAAACCTTAGTCTCTGCCGTGACCGTGATTGCTTTAAAGCATTCGAAACGTCGGGAACCAACCCAGAAAGAAAACCAGTTAGAATTTTATTATATGTATAGATATAAAAATATTACCTGATTATATTATACAAATACGTGACAAATCGAGATGTGATCTGCATTTTGTTTAATAAAATGTAAATCTAAGCTTGATATGTATACTAATGAGCACACCTTATAAATGACAAGGCCAAATAATGTAGGCTATATTTAATTTATGTATTTTATTCCTATAAATTCTAATAAAAGGCTATAGTTTTACAATATATTGTATGTATGTAATTATTTTGAAGTTATATTTCATTTGGCACGTTTGGAAAAAAATGTGAGAGTAACGTTTTTTGGATGCGCGTGCACACCGACAGCCAAAAAGCGACATGATGAAGTTAGCTGCATTCCTTTTACAAACAAAGTATTGTTTACATACGGGATGAATCTTTAGCTATTTTTAGCTAGCTAACACTAATAGAGAATTAAAATGAAATGACATATCTAAACACTACTACGTCGCGTGATCAGAATATTATGTCAGTTCCATGCATCGATAAAAAAATTACTAAATACACAATCAGCGACAAAAAATGTTCTCATCGAATAAGCGCTCATTTGAACATTGAGCGCGCTTTTAATTTTTTTTGTGAAAACAACTTTAAGCATTGCATTTGAGGTTCAATTTGCATTGTTGTATATTTATTTAAATTAGAATAATTACCTAAACTTAATTAGTGACAATTTTAAGAGAACTTTTGCATTGTGTATCTAGTACTTTTTGATCGATGGTTTCATATAATTTATAGTTATTTTTATAGTTTTCTTTCAGCGATATCGATTGTAGAAAGTCAACTTGTCTAAGAGAGTAGGTTCTATTCCTTTGAATGTATAAGGATATATTTGTTTGTAGGTAACGCCCAATATAATAGTTACGGATCTCGATGAAGGCGACAACGCCAAAATAACAGTGACGTGCGTTACTGAGGAGAAAGGCGGCGATGTTGAAGCATGTTCCACCTTCAAGATCGTTACTGATATGGTAAGATTTTTTGCTTTTTTTAAATAAATTTTATTAATAAATCATTAAAATTCAAAACTTTAAAGTAGATAGGTTCCATTCATTGCAATGGAGAAGTTTCCTGATGTTGATAATATCAATATAATTTAACGCAATGGAATTATAATAGGTGTAGGTCAAAACTAATAAATCAGTGGTTTTTTTAAATCTATCAATAAATGACTGAAAAATTAATTTAAATTTCGCCGCTCAGGTCGTGTGATGTCACGAAATTATTCATACAAGCGCAATTTTAAAGTTTTTAGACTTATTTTAATAATACTTTCATATTTTTGTTATATTTTGCTTAAATTTTATAATTAATACAAAAAAAATGGGACACTTCTCCATTTGTTTACTTTCTTTATTGTTTATTAGCAGTATTCCCCACGGGAACCGTACATTTTTCCGGGATAAAAAGTAACCTATTCCAGACTATAATCTACTTCTGTGCCGAATTTCATCCAAATCCCTTTAGCCGTTCTGGCTTGATTGAGTAACAAACATGCAATCATCTAAACTTACGCATTTATTATAGTAGTAAGATTGTTTGAGCTTATTCTGTAACTCGATTTAAGCGAGTGCGATCAGCCTAAAACATTCCGTAAATTGACTTGTTTCTAAATTTATTAATATGAAGAAGGTTTTAAGTTGACTTTCTTGAGAGGATATAGGATAGTTTTTGTCCCGGAAATTATCCCTTAAGGGATAAAAATGGGGAAATCATCTATTTCTAAGTAAAGAGATATAAAACTCATTATACCTATGCATATTTATATTTATAATATGCCTACCTATGCATATTTGTATCAATCATCAGGTATCCATAGCACAAGCCTCGTAGCTTACCATGGAAGTAGATGGCGCTGTATGTTAATGTCCCAACATATTTATTTATTTATATATAATACTAATATATAGACTATCAATTCCATACTATCCATTGAAATAAAGCATAAATCGTTTTCAGGTAACACCAAACAAGTACCACGTCCGGCTGTACCTGTCGGCGCCGCTGGACTACGAGGGCCGCGCGGCGTACGTGGTGGCGCTGGCGGCGCGCGACGCGGGTCGGCCGCCGCGCCGCGCCGCCGCGCGCCTGGCCGTCGCGTTGCGCGACGTGCAGGACGCGCCGCCCGTCTTCCTCTCTGCGCCGCACGCCGCCACCGTGCGCGAGAACACGCCGCCGGTCCGTACCACTATACACACACTCACACATGCAACAATACTCGTAACTAGAGTTCGCAGAGTGCTTGAATATAGACCATGATTGTTACTGATTTTTTTATTGGTAAAACTAAAGCTCGTCAATAGCTATTAAAGTAAAAAAAACAGATCGATTCACAAAAATATTTATTTTAATTAACTTAACGTTAATGGATTATATATAAAAATATTAGCTTATTACACTGTTTCTCCATATAAACTTTAAATGGGTCAAATTTCACATTGCTCCGTCCGCGTAATTTTCTTACAAAGGGGTACAAAGTTTTTGCTTCACGTATTAATATATAGATAAGCCTCCACGGTAGCTTGTGGCGAGCTGTTAATTAGTGGCGACAGGTCCGTATCTCTAAGGGCAACATTCTTCCCCGCCTCTGGCTTGCCTTCATTGGCTTTCCACAGCCTATAGATGCTCTAAAAGGTAAAAGGGCTTAATCTGCGTACTAAATGGGAAACTCGTCCACGAGCACTCTCGTGATGGTGAAACCGGTGCACACCTCTCGATGCCGACTACGTCGATGTTGCACCTGAGACACTGCCGCTTTGTGGTGGTCCATCTAAAATGACGAAAGTGAAAGACGAATCGCCATCCACCGTATATTACATCTAAGACTGTTAAAGAGACAGACGTCGCTAGTATACAATACAATTAACAATTAGCTAGTCTTTGTAAAGAATATTTTACTAAAATATATGAAATCGTCGTCCTAATTATAATTCCTTTTTTTATTTTCCATAACAGAACACTAGTATAATGGAAATTATAGCCAAAGACGGTGATACGGCCAACCCTCGACCAGTGCTGCTGACCCTCGACGGGGACAGCGAGCGGTACTTCAGGCTGCAGCCCGAGCGGGCCGTGGGGCGCGCCACGCTGGTCACCGCCGACGTGCCGTTGGACCGAGAAAACGATATTGTTATACAAAGTGGCGGGGTTTACAACTTTTTTGTTAAGGTAAGATATATTGGATAGTAACTCTTGGTCTTGCTCTTTCAATTCTTAGGATAGCTTAAATTACAAAAATCTGAAAAACAAACAGAATTATTTTTATAATATTTATAGGTTAAAAAGTATTCATCTAAAGATGTTAATGTCAAAAGTAAATAAACAGCGTCATCTATGAATACGCAGTGTAAACTTATGGCTCATTTTTCTAATATCAACAAAATTACAATAATTTTGATTTAAGGACGCATTATTTCATTTTCGGTTACGAAAAATATTTTTTAAAATGAATATACTTTTTTACACGAGTTATTTTATATGACTAACAAATCAATACATGTAACGCCATCTGCTGAAAAATAATTGATCCCTATTGATAATTGAACTTGTTCCCAATGACCCACCCACAACCAGGCGACAGAGCTGATCAACAACGAGGTACCGGCAGACTTCACCGTGGCGCCCATAACGATCGTGGTGAGCGACGAGGACGACCACGAGCCCGCCTTCAACGCCCGCGCGCTGGCGGCGGCGGCGCCCGAGCACGCGGAGGCCGGCAGCCCGCTGCCCGCGCTGGCGCTCTACGTGGACGACCCCGACCTGCCACACCATGCGAGGTACACAAAATATCGATATATCAAAAAATCTATGTTTTATCAGAAATTGATCGATATTTTTATTGTTGATATCTATTTCATACCTAAGCATGCTGATTGCTGATGCGTAATTTGAACATAAACAAATATTGTCTATGGCCGGTTTAGTTATTCATCATGAATAATTTAAATAATAAAGCTGCCAATAGTGTATTTAATTTTTCAAATTTCGAATATTTCGACAATGCTCATAATTAACCATTGAACAAAACTATCGAAATATCGATATTTTTACTATACATCGACATATGTATACGATATATTGATTATATATTTTTTCATTTTCCCATCCTTAGGTACAACCTCTCCCTCCGAGACGTCTTCAACTCTGAGGGCGTGTTCACCCTCACTCCAGACCACGGCGAAGGACGCACGCCTATCAGCATCAAAGTGAATGACTCGTCCAAATTGGACTACGACGTTGAAGATGAAGATAAAAGGATGTTCATTTTCGATGTAGTCGCCTCCGTCCATGGAGAAGAGAAGGCATCTTCTCGAATAACTGTCAAGCTGTTAGACATAAACGATAATGCCCCAATATTTGATGAGCCCCAATACAAGTTTAATGTTTTGGAAAATTCCCCGGCAGATTTGAAGATAGGTGATGTGCACGCGAAGGATAAGGATTATGGAATTTTCGGGGAAATTGAGTATTCGTTGAGCGGTTTCGGGGCTGAAATGTTTAAGACGGATAAAATGAATGGTGGTTTGTTCGTTGCGAATAATTTAGATTATGAAATGCAAAAGAGTTATAGTTTAACTATGACAGCCAAAGATGGCGGCGGAAAGAGCACCACTGTAAGTGTGTATGTGGACGTAGATGACGTGAACGACAACGCGCCAGTGTTCGAGGCGGCGGAATATTCTCGAACGATACGGGATGGTGCTACCAGTTTCGAGCCGCAGTTGATAGTGAGGGTAAGAATGATTTTTTTATTGTATAAACATATATATGAAAGTTTGTATAGATTTGAGTAAAACTTGCTACATATGTAGACTAGGATTTAGTCTATTTAAAACATTAAAAAAATACAAGATCGTGCAATGCATACTAGTTAGTTAGATATCGCCTTGAATTGTCTTTGAGTGAATTTTGTATCTATAATTTAGTTTATTATAGTGTCTTGTTATGTCCTGTGCGTGCGTGCGTGCGCGTGTATGTATATGTGTTAACTGCCTCGGTGGTGTAGTGGCTAGCATGTACAATCGCAGATCCGGAGGTCCTGGGTTCGAGTCACGCGTAGGGCCATGTTCAAGTCTCGGAGAACACGTGTCGCGTAGATCCTGCGCCTTAACTCTCCCTGGCTATGTCGAAGTATTGTCACATCGAACTTTGAAAGTGATAGGAATAGAGAGTGTACATTGTGTCTGCACTATAGTGTATAATATCTCCTGCGCATTCGTTTAGTCTCAATGAGATTGGCGGCCATTGCCTAAATCGGCCAGGAGGATATTATTATGAATGAAATTTGAAATTTATTATATATTAACGTTAATAATATTTTATCGTAGGTATTTTGTTAAATCAACGGTTGAGTAATGTCTGGCTTCACTTTTTTAATTTGAGAATTGAGAGATAAGAAGACAACGCACGCAGTACTATAAAACCATATAACTGCTAAAAGATAATGTGAATGAGTACATGCATGTTTGGTAATTATAAGTATAATTTATTTTTGAGAAAATAAAAAAAAATAAAAAATATTTTTTAAGTTTTTATTTTTTCCTTTTTTAGTGTAGACGTAACTCGGAGGTAATTTGTAAGCAGAAAGTTTTTAATAACATTCGATTAAACAATTAATTTAAAAAATATATTTATTGTTGATTTTTTTAAAAACCGCTCGACGGATTCAATAAAATTTATATGGGACCACCTGGGAAGTATAAACAAACCCTTTGAAACAAAAAAAAAAGAATTTACCAAATCGGTGAACATACATAAAAAAAATCGGTCGAATTGAGAGCCTCCTCCTTTTTGGAAGTCGGTTAGTAAATATTTGTATTAATTTAACTCGTGAACATTGCCGTCCGGCTGTAGGCGACGGACGCGGACGGCGCGGCGCAGGGCGGCGGGCGCGTGCGCTACTCGCTGGCGGCGGGCGGGGCGGGCGCGGTGAGCGTGCACGCGCACAGCGGCGAGCTGCGCCTGCTGCGCGCCGCCGCCGCCGCCGACACGCCGCGCGGCGAGTACCGCCTCGTGGTGCGCGCCACCGACTACGGTGGGTCACGTTTTTAATCATCTATAATCTACATGTACTAATATTATGAAGAGAAAAAATTCTATTTTTGTTTGTAATGAATGAATTAAAAGTCCGCTGAACCGATTTATATAAAATTTAGTATGAACATAGTTTGAAACTCTGGAAAGGACATAGGGTAGTTTTTATCCCGGAAATCATCCATTATGGGGGTGAAAAGGAGGATAAAAGTTTTGTATGTAGAATCAATCGTTTCTCAAGTTAGAAATGAAATTTATGCTAATATATAAACTAGGTAGATTCCCTTAGATTGTGATAAAGCATAATCATATTAAAATTAATTTACACACGATAGTATCACTCTTCAAGTTTAGTTTCAATGTGATTAACCAGTAAGACTGAAATGGGTAAGAGAACATAATGATAACCTAGAAAAGAATGGTATATATCATTTACACAACTTCTATATTATTGCATAATGATTTTTATAGTCCTATAACCACTTAAAAATGTACTGTTGATACTATGCACAAATAATAAGTTTTTTCTCCATAAATACTTCTTAATCTTATACTTATTTAATTATATTCCTTGAACGTTATCTTTAGTACCTTCAGTATAAAGGATCTTACAACTTATTATTGCATCCTCCATAAATTCTAAAAAAACAAAACAATTTCAGGTATACCACCATTGTATAACGAAACTAAAGTATATATCCGAGTGGGGGTTCCCGGGAACCAACGCCCCATTTTTAAGGGCAACTACCACCACTACAAGTACACGGGACACAACAAGGAAGATTTCTCCCTGGACATTAACCCTATGAACTACAAGGCGAGTATCCGGGAGGACGCGCCCCCGGGACACAATGTGACCGCCGTGGTCGCGCACGACCCCGACGGGTTGGATGATCTGCTAACTTACCATATCGTTGGTGGTTCTAAGGATAATTTTGTTATTAATGAAAAGTAAGTATTTTTGCTATATATATAATATATTATGTACTTATTAGGTGACGCTATGACGCTGCTCATTGCTGTCCACGGTTTATGAAAATTTTCCTTTATTATATTAAATGTCCAATTTCAATTGTTTTTCTTTAATTATTAAATTTATAATCTTATGAGTTTTATATAATTATTTTATTGTTAAAGTAAATAATTCTTATTCTTTCAGAACCGGCTTAATAACAGTATCTAATGATGCGAATCTCGACCGGGATACGAACCCGGACCGCTACGAGATTAAAGTGTCAGCGGTCGATAGTGGCGTGCCCGTGCCGGAGACCGCCACCACCACCGTCTTCGTCACTATAGAAGACGTGAATGACAAACCACCCGCATTCAATCTTACTGAATCCACCACTTATATCTCAGAAAGAACCAAAATTGATGAAGTTGTGACCAAAATAGTAGCCCACGACTCGGACTTAACCTCCAAACTCAAGTATAGTCTACTCTCCATTAAAGCATTCTCCAAAGCTGGAGTCCAACTTAAGGAAAACTCAAATTATAAATACAAGGACATTTTCAAAATTAACGAAGATTCTGGAGAAGTTCTGGTTAACGGCACTTTGGACTACAGTCAAGCGTCAATTGTCATTTTGACAATCAAAGTGACAGATGTCAATGCACAGATAAATAAAGATAAGCAGTTCGCGGTGACGGAGCACACAGTTTACATACAGCCCTACGCTGATAAAAACCCTCAGTTCACTAACCCTGGCTGGACAGGATCCAATCCAATTATACACCACAAAGTGAAGGAAGACCAGCCGATAGGAAGTACCGTGCTAGTGCTAATGGCGGAAGACCCGACTTCTGGTCACGTAGTTTCTAATTTCAAAGTAATAACTTCTGAGACTGGTCTTTTGCAAGTGGATCCTTTAAGTGGACAAGTAGTGTTAACTAAGCATTTAGATTATGAAGAGCTGACGAGCCCTAATCTAACTCTCACGGTGCAAGCTACAAGCAACGATGGAAGCAAGCACAGTACAGCGAAAATAATCATAGAAGTTGTGAACATAAATGATAACACACCAGTGTTTGATAAGGAGGTAATTTGAAACTTTTTTACGAAGTGTACTTTGTATTGTTTTTCATATAGCACATATTTTATGATGATGATACATGCAACAGTTTTTTACAAGAATTGAATTGAACTCTAAATAATGTTATTTTTATAATTACTTGTTCCTAAAAAAGTTATATAAATTTCACACCTGAATTATTTTATTTGCTTAAAAAAATATAAAAAATAATCAACAATTTTAGGTCATAATACTTTCTTAGCTTTAATTGACATTTTAAATAAAACTATCTTTTCAGATTTTTTCGCGGATTTATTTTGATTGTTTTAAAGCATTCGAAATGTCGGGAACCAAAAATTAAAATATATTCGTGAAGAAATCCGAAAAGATACTTTTATTTAATACTTTTACATCAATTAAACAATGCCAATTGCACGAAAAATACTATTTCTTTATAATACTAATTTTATTGTAAATATCATTTTCTCGATCATCTAATACTTGTTAACCTATATAAATAAAACAGCTATACAAAGTGAGCGTCCTCGAGTCCACGCTGTACCCGGAGGTGCTCCTCACGGTGCACGCGACGGACGCCGACGCCGTGCTGACGGAGGAAGACCGGCGGCGCGGGTACGCCGACGTGCGCTACGCGCTGCGCGGCGACCACGCCGACCTGCTGCTCGTCGACGACGTCACCGGCGTCATACGGGTCAGTTCACGATCGTTTACTGTACACTCCTAGAGATAGGAGACTAGCTAACGCTCTAAATACTCGTAGAATGCAAGTTAAACCATACATTAACTATATATAACCCTATGTACAGATAGTCCCCAACAAAACATGTCTATTTACGTGCCTATCTTTGTACTAAATTTCAAAAATAACTTAACCCTACGTGTACTCGTATGTATTCGACGAGACGTTTGACTCAGTTTGTAATGACCGTGCTTGCTGTGCCAGCGGTTGCGGTTTCGAGTCCCGCTGGGAGCATTCATTTGTGTGATACGTGTTTATATGTATAATATGTATGTATTTAAAGTTATATATGTGTAGTGTATTAACTATTTGGTATCCACAACACAGGCCTCGTAGCTTACCATGGATCTAGATGGTGCTGTCACGCTGAGTTAATGTCCCAACATACGTATAACGTGCAGGTGGCGCCCAACAAGTCGCTGGACCGCGAGCAGCAGTCGGTGCTGCGCGTGACGCTGGAGGCCGCGGACGCGCCGGCGGGCGGGCCGCGCCGCACCGCGCGCGCCGCGCTGCTGGTCGACGTCCTCGACGTCGACGACAACCCGCCCGCCTTCGACAAGGCGCTCTACACCGGTGAGCGTGCTTCTTTACTATAAAGGCTAGGGACGTCACTCCATCATTTGGCCGGTTAATATTATTATTGTCAAACTTGCAACTGCCTCGGTGGTCTAGTGGCTAGCATGTACGGCTGCACACCCGAAGGTCCTGGGTTCGAGTCCCGGGTCGGGCCAACTTTAGTTATTGAGTCTTCCTGTATAGTAAGTCTCAGTAACAGCCCGGAGTTGGGAAGTTGGCGGTGTTTCACCCCCGTGCCTCGGAGAGCACGTAAAGCCGTCGGTCCTGCGCCTTAACTCTCACCGGTCGTGTCGAGTGGTCGTCCCACCGGAGTATGAGAGTGATAGGAATAGAGAGTGCACTTGTGTCTGCGCGTACACTTGAGCACTATAATATCTCCTGCGCAGTTGGCTAATCTCATTGAGATTGGCCGCCGTGGCCGGAATCGGCTAGGAGAACATCATTATTATTGTATAATTTTAGTTGAAATTATTATGTTTTTTTTTAATACAATGTTGGGATTTCAAAACCAATTTTTCATCTTATTTTGCTGTTATGTAAAAATATATATGTAAGGTTGACTGAATTTTCCGCACTTATACTCAAGTTGGCCCGTTGTGCGTCCTGAATCCTGGCTAATCTAGCCCACCCAGCTCCGCCCAGAAGCGCAGAAGTTTCCTGGGAACATGCTGTCATGTAATTGTAGTTGCGTGGTTGAGTACGTAAATAATTCTATGACGCCCCAATAAAATGAGGAAGTGTGAGTTGTTATAGTAATAATCCGAAGAATTTTTTTTTTATCAGGCAATTTTTTTTTCAAAAATTAACATAACACAATTGCCCGCAGCCGTGGTGCCGGAGAACGTGCCGGTGGGCAGCCTCGTGGTGCGGCTGACGGCCACCGACCCCGACGAAGGTTTGGGCGGGGAAGTGACCTACGAGTTCCTCGATGAGGGCGAAGCCGCCGGTGGGTGCATAGTACATACTAAATGTCATTTTATAAGCTACTAGCGACTCGTCCTCGCTTTTCTCGGGTTCGTCCCTAGCTTGCTTTCCAATACAAAATTTCATCCCCATTGTCACCCCCTTAAAGAATGATTTCCAGGATAAAAACTATCCTATGTCCTTTCCAAGGCTTCAAACTACCTTCTCACCAAATTTCATCTAAATCGGTTCAGTAGCTCCAGAGATTACCCCCTATAACATCACAAACTCACAAACTTTACTTCTTTATACTATGAGTATAGATTTGTAGGACATTTTGGAGTGAATAGGGCATGTAGATTAAAGTATAAGTCTTGATATAGTGCATATAAATACATTCATTTTAGTTCTTAGAGGTATGACGTGACAAATAAAAAAAAAGGTGGGTTAAGTTTAGTATAATGTGAATATATCAAATAAAAGTTAATAATGACCAACTTTTGTACATATACATGATAATAACTTTCATTCTTAATTTTTGACACAAAATATAAATTATCGATTTCCTATGCTATGCTCGATTATTTGCGTTTAATCATAAAAATAAATAACAAAATAATATTTATGTAAATCAATACTTTCTTAGATTTAAGCAAACATTTTATAGTAAAAATATCTCAATTTTGTCGCGGTTTTATATAAGATTTTTTTATTTCCTGATATTTCGAATATTTTACGAGTATAACATACACGGTCACGTGTCACTATACTTTAAATCATTCAAAACGTTTAGAACAAAAGCTCATGATAAATCAACAAAATTTTATCTATACTGATATTATAAATGTGAAAGTTTGTGAGTATGGATATTCGTTACTCTTTCACGCCAGAACGGCTGAACGGATCTGGATGAAATTTGGCACAAAGATAGACGATAGTATGGAATAATACATAGGCTACTTTTTATCCCGGAAAAACATAGGTTCCCGTTTGTTATGTTTAATCTGTCCCGTAGGTCTGTTCACAATCGACGCAGTCTCTGGCGAGGTGCGCACGCGGCGCGCGCTGGCGGGGCGCGGCCGCACGGCGCCCTACCGCGTGCTGGCGGGCGCGCGCTCCGGCCGGCCGCCGCGCGACGCCGCCGCCGCGCTCGCGCTGTACGTGGGCGACGTCAGCGCCAACGACGGCGTGCCCGCCTTCATCGCGCCCGCCCTCGGCGAGGTCATCGTCGTCAGCGAGGTGAGTTCATGGCTGGTTGCCTACATCGATGTCAGTGACGTGAGAGGAGAGATGACTTGTTGGGGGGAGATCATCATTAGTGAGGTGATCTCGCATAGCTGAGCAATAGAAACTGAGAATTATGATTGTTACTAACGACTTATCCCCCCTTTAATGGGGTGCATTGTCACCTAGCCGACTAGCTATGACTTACATATATGTTGCTTCACGACATAGTTTACTTGTTACTCCATTTCATCTAGTACACACATACATACAATAATAATTATTAGTAGTCCAACGGTTTTTGTAAAATGATAGTTTTTATTATTCTAAATCCACCTATATGCAATAGGTTTGTGGTCCACTACATTAGTTAAATACATTTTACAAGTCTTTTGAAAATTAAATGGATTCTATTAAATCTGTATAATTCCTTTATCATATCAGCTAGGTATAACATACACTCATATTTAAACCTCGGACGTGCGTTAGTCAAGTTAAAACTCGCCTCCATAAAATAAACTCTTATAAAAAAAACAATACAAACTGTCCAGAACGCGACGATCGGCACGGTGGTGTACCAGGTGGTGGCGAGCGACCCCGACGACCCCACGCAGCCCTCGGGCCAGCTCGTGTACTCCATACAGCCCAGCAACGACGATGCTGAGGTCTTTGCTATCGGTATGTTGTTTGGTTTTTTTTAAGTAATCTATTTAATGACATTGTGGATACTTGTGTAGTTATTGTTTTTTTTTTCTGGGGATGCAAATATAAAAAGAGTTAAAATTCAATTCAATTCTTTATAAGCACATGTGTAATTGTCCTTATAGAGAAATACTTGTACACGGAGTGGCGTGTGCGCGACGGCTTACGTTATACGTACTTATATATACTGACGTTTAATTTTACATGTAAAATTGACAATTAAAAAGTGCTCGCAAAACTCTATTTCAATAAAGTATATTTTAATTTCGCTCATTGCTGCATTACACATATGCGCTGGTCTCTGACAAATTCGGAGTTTCTCGCAATTCGTTCCGATGCAACGTAAGGCATTATTCCCGTGTGCGGCAGACCCGGAGCGCGGCACGCTGCGCACGCGGCGCGCGCTGGACCGCGAGCGGCGCGCCGCCTACACGCTGGTGCTGGTGGCGGCGGACCGCGGGCGCCCGCCGCAGCAGGCCGCGCGCGTGGCGGCGCTGCGCGTGGCCGACGTCGACGACCACCGCCCGCACTTCGCGCGCCGCGCCCTCGTACGTACATTGTATATGAAGTCCGCCAACCCGCACTCGGCCAGCGTGGTGGACTATGGCCCGATCCCCCGAGTATTGAAGAGAGGTCCACCCCTCGGTAGTGGAACGTTAAAAAGGGCTGAATACAACATACATTCAACGTCTTCTTTTAATTCCTTCGTTCAATCTTTAATTTCCCTTTTTAACGACCCACTGCACTACTGGGCACGGACCTTCCTTACTACAGGGGGATCAGACAATAGTCCACCATACAAACTAAGTGCAAGCGGATTGAGCATGTCTTTCGAAAACTTGCTAGGTTTTCAGACATGCAGATTTCCTCACGATGTTTTCCTTCACTGTAAATGGTGATCATGTTGGAAATGATTAGCACATGAAAATATCAGAGGTGCAAAACCCGAGATTTGAACCCGCTTTACCCGCAGTTACCACTGCCTACCCTACATACCAGTCAATAAAATAACACGTCTGATATGTCTTTTTCTATGTAGGAGAAAAGCGCAGACATTTTAAATCACTGACTCGAGAAATACCTCTAAAAATGACTTCATAATGAACAAAAAAATAAACCCGAAACTTAATGTGCCATACAAATAAAATGTATCTCGAACTATAATTATAATGTTTACATTTTACAGGACGACCCGCCAATTGTAATAACAACTAAAGAAGAAGTACCCATAGGCACTGTGATCGGGACGATAGAGGCTATTGATGAAGACATCGACGAGAATGCGGAGATCGATTACGTTATTACTGGTATTATTTGTTATAAATTAATTAATTAATTATAATTATTGTAGGGTTTTATTTGTAGCAAAGAACAATTAGCCACACATACCTACCTAAACTAGGGACTCACTTTCGATTCGCTGCATATATATTATTATATATACATAGATATGATAAGTTGTGAATTGTATAAACGTGTTTTCCCGTAGGAATTAGATAATCTCCCGCGGTAAAGTAGCCTATGTCACTCTCCAGCCCTCCAACTATCCCCACACAAAAAATTACGTCAATCCGTCATTTTGTTTCGACGTGAAAGAAGAACAAACAAACATACTTTAACATTTATAATATTAGTATGAAAGTATGGATTACATGACGGAATAATATTGTCTAGTTAATAGCAATTCTTTTTTCAATCAATTAATAATAATAAATGAACACTTTAAATGTTATAACTATAATATATGCAAAAGTTAGTTTGTGTATACATATATTAATATCTTTCGCGTTAAAAACGCTCGACCGATTTGGATAAAATTAGACAGACTACAGTTTGGACTAACACATAATATGCTACTGTAAAAGTACCTTAGTTAACAAATAAATATAATTCCAGATGGAAATGAACTGGAGCTGGTCAGATTACAGCGCACTAACGACAGCAAAGCCCAAATAATTTCCAACGCGCGACTCGACCGCGAGGCGCACTCGCGCCAGCTGCTCACCATCAAGTGCTTCAAACGAGGTACCACGCCTCCGCTCAGCAAATCCTATAATCGATTAGTAAGTAACATAATATTTCTATTAAGTCAAATTTAAAGCCTTTGTGCTTTGAAATCTTTTGAGGGATGTTTTAGATTTTTTACAAATTTAAACGATTACTGAGAAATTTAATATTTTAAATTAAACCATCTTTTCGGATTTTTTCGCGGAATTATTTTTATGATTGCTGTAAAGCAGTGAAATCCTCGGGACCAAAAATTAAAACAAATCCGCGGAAAAGAATCCTATAAGATAGTTTTATTTAATATTTTATTTTAATTTTTTTAAAACTGTTAACAAAATAATTTTGGTTCATAATCCTAATTCAATTAAAAAATAGTAAGACATGTATTTATGACATCAAAAAATATATTTCAGGATCCAACTGAAATCCAAGTTCTAATCAAGATCATCGACGTAGACGACCATTTGCCAGAATTCGATGCATCCAACATGACTATAGGAGTGCGCCTCAACGTTCCCATAGACACCGTCATAGCCACCGTCAAAGCCATAGACAAGGACCCCGACGCTCTGCCCATAGAGTATAAAATAATCAACATGACATTCGAATCGCCGATCAAATCGAAATCGTTGAGTAATCTGACAGATGTCATTGTATTGAACAGTAGCAATGGAGAGTTAAAGATTATGAAGAATTTAATACATTACGCTGACGGTACATTTAGGTGAGTTGTTTTTGTTTACCTTCGAAAAGATGCTGGGTGTGTATGCACGTACATATGTGTGTGGGTGTATGTATGTGTGCGTACGCGTGTCTGCCTGTGTGTGCGTGTGTATATATGCGTGTGAGTGATTTTTATACCATTTGTGTAACTTATTTATTTATTACATTGTGTAATTAATAAGTATACATTTATAATGAAGAATATTTATTTAGCAAAAGATAGTGGTATTTTGTATGAAGGAATATAAACTATGACTGGTTTTGTTATATGTGATATTGTTTGATGAAAATAGATCGACTGGATTGTTCTTTGTGCAATAAAATGTACATACGAATAATGGAATGTTAACAGTTGGTTACTATAAATATAATACCTTGCATTTTTTAAACGAGACTAATCATTACGTATTATTGTTTCAGGTTTACAGTGAGAGCTTATAATTCAAATGAAACAGATCGATATAGTGATCTCTCAGTTGAAGTAAGTATCTGTTATTGAGTGTTTAAAAAGTAAATTAATTTGATGTCTTTAATGTTTATTTACTGAATAATTTAAAGTTACATGTGTCATATTTATAATTGTATTATGCTTGCTTCTATATAAAAGCTAGATACTCTTGTGCTTGTATCGATAGAAAGAAATCGTCGTGTATATAGGTCCTGAGAAAGCATGTAAGAAATTAGTCGTGAGTATACGCCATAAGAGTGTATGTAAGTAAATAGACCAGGGTCGATAATGTTTGAAACAAAAAAAAATAATAGTAGTAGGATAAAACCCATTGGAAAAGAAAGAGAATATGACAAAAATGAAAGAAAAAATAATTCACGGGCGATCTGAGGTCGGGAAGTGGGAGGGGGTCAGCTTTTAACGGTAAAAAACGGTTTATCTCGATTTCCGGCAAAACTACAAGTAGTATGGAAAAAATTCAAATAACCAATTTTTTGGTTTTTTATTTTTATAAAATGAAAAAAACTCTCCCGTCAAAATATCTGCTTATTAAAAAAAAGGCGGTGGGCTTTTTGTTGTTTGAAATCTCTACTTTCTGATTGACCCCCGGCCCTCGGCAGGTGGTGGTGGTGCGCGCGCGCGACCTGCTGCGGCTGGCGATGCCGGCGCGCCGCGTGGCCGCGCTGCGCGCCGCGCTGCGCCCCGCGCTGGCCGCGCGCCGCCTGCGCCTGCAGCTACACGACGCGCCGCTCGCCGACACCCTGGGGTGCGTACACTCCTCGATGCTCTCATGTTGCATTTCCTACCTTTTTTTATTTATTATGCAATATTTGCATAAATCTATACTAATATTATAAACGTGAAAGTGTGTTTATTTGTCCTTCTTTCACGTCGAAAAGGAGTGACGGATGGGCGTGATTTTATGTGTGGAGATAGTTGGAGGGCTGGAGAGTGACATAGGCTACTTTTTACCGCGGGAGATTATTTTATTCCCCCGGGAAAACACGTTAAGATACAATCCAAAAAAATATTCATGATCAGAATTACTTGAAACTAGGTATTAATGCGCTTCAATAAAATTAAATAAACACGTTTTTTAGCATTTTTCGAAATTCATCCTTTAAGTGGGTAAAATTGGGGATGAAAGTTTGTATAAAAACTATCTTTTTAGAGATTTATTTGTAGTTTTAGAGCAAGCGAAGCCGCAGGTTTTGCTAGTAATTAATATATTTATTTAATTTAATAGTTAATGTTTGCAATGTTTGTCTTCTGAATAAATAAATAAATCTTGTGAAGAACTTGTACATCTTATAAACTGTAATGTAATAAATTGTTGAATTAAATGTAATTGAAAGTTTATACCCTTCTTTTTAAAGCATTTAAATCTGAACTTGTTTTTAAAAATGTTTTTTTACAATTAATTTATTTCATATCGTTTTCATAATACTTTCTTAGATTTACGCGAATGTTTGACATTATTAAATAAAACTATTTTTTCGGATTATTTCGCGGATTTATTTTGACGAGAGAGACTCTCCCGTGACCATGGATGCTGTAAAGCATTCGAAACGTCGGGAACCAAAAATCAAAATAAATCCGCGAAATAATCCGAAAAGATAGTTTTATTTAATCATATCGTTTTTTTTCATTTCCCTTACCCTCTCTCCACCTCCTTTTTTTTGTACTTTGTATACCCTTGTCTGTCAACTCTTTTTCTTTTGTATCTATTGGAAAAGAGGCATATTTCCCTCCGTATAAGCAAATTGTGTCAAGATCATTACGATACCGAATATAAAAAAAATAAACTTATTTTTATGTAATAATAATAAAAAAAATTACAATCACAGTAACCAATTAAAATGCAACCGCAGGCCATGCTTCCAATTCCGCAAAATGGATACCGGTGAAGCGCTAACGCCCAAAGCGATGAAAAGCGTGATCCGGTCGCTGGGCGCGGAGCTGGAGCGCGTGCTGGCAGCGCACAGCGTGCGCAACATCACGGCGTGCGGCGCCGAGGCGGCGGCGCGCGGCGCGGCGGCGGCGGCGCTGCTGGCCGTGGCGGGCGCGCTGCCGCTCGCCGCGCTCGTCGCCGTGCTCGCGCTGTGCTGCATGCACGCTAGCGGTGAGTTGGCTTTTTGTTTTGCTCCTCTGCTACAACACTGTCATGTGTGCAAAGCGCATGTTGCATGCGTTGTTAAGAAGAGAACCACTGACGTCGCGAGACTGCCGTAAGACTATATCAGCATTTTAGTATCTTATATATTACAATTGTAATAAGTAATTGGTATTCAATATGTGACTCTAATATCGATAACTATTGTTTCATAATATTAAGTTTAGATGTAATTTTTCTATTTGAAAGTAATTTTAGTTAAAATATTAAGTAAAGACTTCAGGTTTTTTAAGTCCTCCGGCTATCATAAATGTAATTTGCAGTTTTGTGTACGATGGTAGTATTTTATGTATAGCGGGTGCACTTCCATGCACTACGTTGACCACTAGTGGCACCGTGCCGTGTACATCTTAGTGATGTGGTTTGTGGTCTGGTTTGTTTTTGGAGAACGGAACATCACGGCATGTTGGGAATTGACCACGCAAGATGCGTGGCGGGTGCACTGCTGTGTGATTCGTTAATTTTTTTGCTTTATGTATTCTAGCGATGTATTTGGTTGGTTGTATTAACTTACGTTACCACTTAAAAATTCAATTAATAAAGAATAATTTTAAATAAAACAGCTTTTATCGATTTTTTTAAAATATATCAAAAACCTTAGTCTACCCATGACCCCTTAGACAACCAAAAATGAAAATACAACCTGTAATTTAAAATAGCCCATATAATTTCAGAAAGTATTATACAAACGCATGTTACAGCAAAGCGGAGGCTGCGGTCGGCGCTGCTGGCGCGCGAGGCGCCGGCCGCCGGCCTGGCGCCGTCGCGACTCTACGCCGAGCCGCTGTACTCCACGTGACACCGGCTGTACAGTATACACATACTTATATAGAAACTAACTAACTCAGCTATTGGACTACTGTTGTTCATGTGAAAGTTTTTCTGTGTGTATGTATGTATGAAAGTGTTTGTTACGGTAAAACGACTGGACGAATTTGGATGAAATTTAATACACAAATAGGGAGTGTGTATAGGCTATTGCTGTACTGTGAATATGCTTCTATTAGTATACATACTACGGATACGTCCTAGAAAGGGAGAGTATGTCGCTAATTTAATATATCGATGAAACTGCTAGTAACAAACATACATACATACATACATATATTTTCACAATTATAATAGTAATCTGAAGAAATAGATAATATTTATGACAAGAGATCCGAAAGTGAGACATGTAGTAACGTATGATACAGGCTTAAACAAGTTTTGTATAAGACTATATATTATAATACATTACCTCACGTCAAGGACATGTTATTGTATATTTTTTAAGTATTTTGCTATTTATGTACTTCAAAACTTGAAAACTATAAACAAATCTAAAATTCCGTCCAAACGTTTTAAAGTATACGAGTAATACGGTGATTATTATAAAATTTGTTGTTATCGCTTTTTCGTGTTAAGTGATTTGTTTTATGAACATCTGGAATTTTATTTTTAAATTTAAGTAAGAAATTAATGTACTTGCCTGTTACATTATTTGACTAACTAATTATAATAATAATATTACTACTACCACATCACATAATTCTATACTAGTACAGATACCTCATCCCATATAAAGATATTGGACAAGACTAATTCGGGCTCTTTTTTGTTTGCTTGTATAGATAATCGATGTTGATTTGCTAATAGTTAAACTATTTTATTTTTTAAATATGTGCAGACTAACAATTGGTAAATATTGTAAAATTCATCCTGTATTCGAATAAAAATTACATTTTTAACATTTTTTAACCGTGATAAACAATTCATAAAAACTTAAAGCGCCATCTGTGAATACAATACACTACAAACCATCATCTGATTGCTCTGATATTTCTATAATCAATAAAATTACGCAAATTTGATTTAAAGGGGACATTATTTCTTTACGCTTCACATATACTACAATATTTTAAAACAATAATACACCTTTTAGGATCTATTTCTTTATCTTTTGTTAATTTAACAACTTTAATAACAAATCGATACATGTAACGTCATCTATTGACACTTATTTGAATTAATTCTTCTTTGTTCGTGATGAGACCCCCTGCTACTACAACACTGCAAATATATAAGTAAGACGTATGCATAAACATATGTGTTTATTTTAATATCGCACCTCTGCTTTGCTTAGATTGTTCTTTAGGTAAATAAATCATACGTCGATTGATGTGATCGATAAATTATTTCTATTTTATAAATATCTTACCTAAATTACACTAAAGTATTTTTTTTGAGGTAAACATATTTATATTTAACTAAACAATATTTATAAATAAATAAATATTTATAATATGTACTAGCATTGCCCGCGGCTCCGCCCGCGTTCAAATGACCAAAAACCAAATTTAATAGCGCTATCGTTATTTTTTTTTTCACGATAAGCTATTTTTAATAGCTTTTGCCTTCTTTAGTAAGGTACCTTGCTAAAATATATAAAGTATCATCGTGGTTTTATTCTAACCAGATTTTGTATTTTTTCTCAGAAATGAGATATTTTCTCGCGGTAAAAAGTATTTTATATGTTGACCCGGATAACCAGCTATGACCATAACAAATTTCATCAAAATCTGTCCTGTGGTTTTCTCGTGATGCGGTAACAGACAGACAGACAGACAGACAGACAAAAATTCTAATAACTATAGATTCGGCCTCCGTGTCGATTATAATGACTATTTCAATAAGATTTTCCAAAAAATATTTAATGTACAGATTCGACTCAATTAGAATTTTATCATTTGTATAGATGTATATAAAGTTATATATGTGTAGTACATCAACTCATCCATAACACAAGCCCATAGCTTACCATGGAACTAGATGATGCTGTGTGTTTATGTCCCAACATATTCATTTATTATTTTTTATTAATTATAATAAAGTTTTTTAATGTGACAAGAAATAATTAAAATTTTATTATATGTACATCAACAGCTGACCTTTACTCTCATAATACTCTGCCCTCGATACAATTTTATATTGTAATAAAACTCTTTGTTAAAATATTTACAATGCAATGTATCTATTAAACATTTAAATATTCACTTTTATTATGATATTTTCTATTTTTCAATAAAAAAACTACGTTTGTAATTCAAAATATCAAGTTTATATTCATGTAGAAAGCTTCATTGAAGTCGCTACAGCGATCTCGACTGAGCTATTATTAATAGTCAACACTTGAATTCAGCCCTTTTGAACGTCCCACTGCTGGGCGTGGGCCTCCTTTCAATACCAAGATCAGGCCATAGTCCACCACGCTGGCCAAGTGTTGGTGGACCGAGCATGTCTTTCGCACTTACTAGGTTCTTTGAGACATGCAGGTTTTCTTAAATGTTTTCATTAACCGTAACTCAAGTGATAATCATGTTGTAAATGATTCACACATAAAAATATCAGTGGTGCGAGACCCGGGATTTGAACCCGCTTCGCTCGTTTTCCCAAGCGAGCGCATTACCACTTTGCTACCACAGCTAAAAATCATCATTTAAATAAAAAATAATAATTAAATTGCAAATGAAAAAGTGTTCCGATGTAAAACATACCGTTTTTGTGTATAAATATAATTTGCCGTCCAGTCAGATATTCTACCAGATAACTATGGATAGTAGTTATTATTTTAGTTTTCAGTTATCTTATTGACAGATAAACATGCGCTTGTTTTATATATATTTTTGTATTGAAGTTCTTTATCGCTCGTAACTCGGCACACTTGGCGAATGTCACGACACTTTTTACTATTTACTAAGAGCATCCCATGTGACGTCATCACTAGTACCAGGCAAGCATGAGTGTTAAGGAGGTCGTGTGCCCTGTTTGACAGGGTCCTACATATATAATGAGCCCCCCTCGAGATTATATTAGCATTAAGTTTTGAAAGTGAAATTTCTTTGGTCTTTTCTGGCTACATTAATAGAAAGAAAAAGACAGCTAATATGTTAGATGAGACTGTCTCTTTTTATATCTTTTTTTAATTTTAATTAAAATGACATTATGTCTTGACGATCACTAAAGAAGTTACACTTACTCACGCACTGAGTTACGCATATCAATCATTTTAAAATACATTTTTAACCGACTTAAAATAAGCATGTTATACTTTTTTGTTTTTTAGCTTGCAAATTTTGAATTGTAATGCTATTTTTAAGTAACCTTTAAAGAAGTAGACATTTTAAATATAAAAAAAATGAGTTACTTTATAAATGTTCGAAGAAAATGATTTAGTCCGGTCGCATATTGTAAGATTTTTTCTGTCAGAAAATTTGTGACGCCCACCGGTACCACCCCCACACCCATCAGAAACTTCGCTGTAGTTTGACAATGACTTTCTGATAGGTGTGCGGGGTCTAGTAAAAATGTAAAGAGAGCGCACCCTCCGACGTTCTTCTGATCAGAAAAATTCTGACGTCCGATCGGTGACATCCGAGACTATCAGAAGACCTAAACATATGAGCAGAGTGCCTTCCGCCGGGGTCAGATATTTCTGACGAAAAAATCTTATAGTATGCGCCCGGCCTAAAAAGCCTGTCTGTTTTTATTCCTTAAGGTATAGACTATAGATATTTAGATATGATATTTGCTAATAAAAGCATTAAATGTGTTAAACATATATTTTTTCTATATTGTTCAAAAATGAAATGTACAAAACATGTATTGATGGTGACCATAACATAGTGTGATAATAAATATAAGTGTTGAGTCACAATTTTATTAATTTAAAATTCTTGAAAGAATAAATAAATGCATATTTCTATTTATTATTGTATATAGATAATAAAATACTACATTTAATATATTATTGTTTTCTTTTTTACATTTCCAAAGACAAAAACCGAACGCTAAATAACATCGCTATATATTTCTTTGTCCGTCGAAATAATAGGGAATATGTGTGATTTTTTTTTCAATTTTTTTATTCAATAGCTAAGATCGGTATATACTTAATTGTAAAAAATCCAGCTTCATAAAACTAAAATTTAGTATAAAAAAAATAAAAATATACCGATACGGATACTGTATACGTCCGCCATTTCGCGCGCTTGGCGTGACGTCCAGTATGATATACTTGCACAAAAATGACGACTCAATTGGAGCGCAAATTGACTTTTAAGTATTATTACGAAAATTTTGTATGTGCGTATAGAAAAGTGTTGTTTTTAGACTTTTTCAGGCAATTTTTTAATTTTTTCTCTCCGTAAGAACCATCCTCGTACTTCAAGGAATATTCTAAAAAAAGAATTAGCGAAATCGGTTCAGCTGCTCTCGAGATTTGCGCTTACCAACACATTCAGCGATTCATTTTTATATTATAGAATGTCAAATATTCGCGTAAATCTAAGAAAGTATGATATAGGTAAGGTAAGCGATAATTCAGAATGGTGCGCGTTCGGCTGATGAGTACTAGACTTTATTCACGTTAGGCGGGGAATCCTCGATTCATTAGATGATATATTGGAAAAGGTCAACTTCCAAGATGTTTTAAATGATTTTGTATCTAAAAGAACAAGAAGAGTTGCTATTTAAACTTATTGTACTTATAAAACTATTTTCTTCCGTTTATTGTTATTTATTGCATTTAACAAGATTAAATTTAAAATAACCGCATAGCGTCTCATTTTTCTATTCTGTTCCATCATGAGATCTGGATCATCACTTATCTATAACTATAACCTATTCATTAAGATCATTTCAATGAAAGCAATTAGTCAGGCATGTGAGGTGATGCTGTAGCATCAAGCCAAGGTAACCATCTTGTTGCAATTTATACTAATATTACAAATGTGAAAGTTTGTGAGTATGTATGTA